GTGCCTTATTCATTAATGGAGAGTATGTGAGCGTAGGGGCAGGAAGGAGGAGCGTTTGGCGGTTTGCATATTGATGGCAAGAATATGGTGGGACTCGAGGAAAGTTCTTTTTGCATTCAAGGATGAATGAGAAGGAATCACTTGTGGCTTTTGCATCGTACATAGATTTATGGTCCATCATGTTCGTTGAAATTGCTATAGGTGGAGGTTATTCTGCATGCAATTAGCCATGGTCTAAAAAGTTTAATGAGTTATATTGGTTTAAGCTTTATGCTAAGTTTTTGAAGTTTGCGAAGTGCTAACCACAGTGCAAGCCAACTGATACTATCTAAGTTGTGCATTCACTCTCCTAATAAATTTTAAAGGAGAACCTAAGACTGAAAAATGTTGAGAAGTTAGAATAGATCAATTTCAGAATAAGTTTTCTACTTGCTGTAAAATCTATTGGTTGTATGAAAAGCCATCAACTCTTGCGAATTGAACATAATAAAGGATCAGTAGGAGATTATTAATCACTAATGCTAAGTGGGTGATGTTTTTGTATTTTTGCAGTTTTCAGTACTGCAACATACACATTTGCAGATATGCCAAATGGCTCTTTCTATTAAAAAGCATTTCAAAAGAGTGGTTATACAAATGCAATATGAAATTATATGTGATATTTACTATTTATGTTTTTCAAGTTGTGTATTGCAAACTATGCACTTACATGTGTATATATATATATATTATATATATATATATATATATATATATATATATATATATATATGTAGCATGGTTATGTTGTTATTGGTGTTTGCATGTGTGAATTGCTGTAGATGTGTTGAATATGCATTGCTTATGGTATAAATAGGTATATCTTGGTATTTGTCCTTGCATTATATGTGTATATGTATATATGTTACAAAATTATTATTTTTTCATGCAAAATTAATACCATCCTTTTTCAAGTCTTTTAGTGGTATCTAAATCATATTGCATTTTTGTATTCCTATGTAATACTTGCTATATACTTGTATAAGGACATTAATGATTGTCTATTCTATTGTGAGATTGCCTTTATTTTATAACTCCTGTCAAGGTGCCTAATAAAATTAATTTCAAACTCGTATTGTGGCTTTTGTTGAAAAAACAGATATTTTACATTCAGAGTGATTGAAAATGTTGTAGGAAATTGTACTGAAAGCTGCCCGACCTTTCATTATTTTCTGCAATCTGCATGCTATTTTGCACTCCAGTTCTGGTCAACATTATGTGTTTGTTAACTTTGTGTGCCGGCGCATGCACAAACTGCTCTGCTTACCTTGCTACCCACGTCATGTTATTGCTTGATATGTTTTTTTTCCCCCTATTTTTTGCGAAGAATGGTTGATGATCTTGCTTCCTTCGCATTTCATTTGAGAGTTTAGCTTTAACATTCCAACCCCTACAAGATGGCTAGTGTACCGGAAGTGCATGACAAGCTGTGGACATCAATAGTATTTGGCATGGACAAATATGGGAAGAAACCAGCATGTTCAAGTTTTTTTTGGCTTTGTTGGTTAATTGTTTGATCTCCAAAACAATTAAAACTGATTTTGTAATAACCACATCTTCTGCCAAAAAAAAAAAAAAATTCAAAGCATGGCTCTCTCCTAGTGCTTAACTCTTTAGAAGTGGTGGTTTTTCGTTTGGAAATGTGCTTCATTGACTAAAAGAGTTGCCGTGTGTCATTCTTTTTCTGTACTTTTATTTCTTCATAAATAACATCTCTCCATTCAGATATTTTTAATGCCTTCTAAATGTTGCTGGGGTTGTTCACACTAGAAAGATTACTTGTAAAAGCATGAAACCATTGAGATAAGTTATTGTAAGAGATGTATTTATTAATTATATTCTTTATATAAGGTTTTATTGTTTGTATACCTTTCTTGTAATCAATCAGGATATTACGGTCAGAATTGGTGTAATCTTTGTGAAAGATGATCAGAGCTTCAAACAAATTGGTTTTGCTTTGGAAAAATACTTGGTTCACCTATAATTATTGAATTTCCTCAACGTCTAGCATAAATCATACCTTTATATTTGGTTTGTTTTATGTGATCTTGAGAATTTTCACTGTGGTCAGATTTCTAAGCTCAATAGAGGTCTTGGAGAGAGAGAGAGAGAGAGAGAGAGAGAGAGAGAGCTAGATGTCAGTGGGGTGAATAAAAAACTCATATTCATGAAAAGCATTGAGATTCTCTTCCTAAATGTTAGTTTTGGAGAAGAATGACTCTTTATCAAAAAATATTACATCCATAGAATTTGTTCTTTTTAGGATAGTGATATTTATGTCCTTTTTGGTTGAGAGAATAATCAATAAAGATGTACTTAATGACGTTTGGATTAAATTTGATTCATTCATTAGGTGAGATATGCTCAAAAGTTGAACACTTAAAATTCTTTTAGTGGAATAGTGGGGTTTAGTTTATTTGTGAGATATGTTTTGATGAGGACTTGGTAGGGGGTTTTGAATTCAATATCCAATAAGGAAGAACACTCGTTAGGATAGCCTCTTCCCAATACTGATTTGGACCATTGCTAGTAATTATGAGTGATTTAGTAACTTCCCGAAGATATCTATTTTTCTTTCAATAATCTTGTTCTGTTGAGTACATATGCAAAAGCTTTGATGTACAATCTTCTGTTAAGCTAGGTAGTTCCCAGAATACAAGAGAAAAAAAAAATTGTCTGAAAAAAAAAAGGTTATTTCCAGAATACAATTAAAATATTCTTTCCTATTAGCATTCTTGAGGATTTGGATATGAGCTTTGAATTGGGTTTGTATGTAGAAATATAATTTCTTAACAATATAACAAGTTTTAAATTTATCTTTCATTAGCAATGTGACTGTCTTGGTCATCCAATTAGCTATAGTGTGCTCATTCATAAAGGACATGAACCACTTAAACATAAAGACATTGGTCACATTAGAGGGTCCCCAAATGTCACTATAAATGATAGAAAAAGGTTGAGAGGATTTATAGGGTGGCTAGGCGCTTGGTGTTCCTGAAATATTTTGATAGTTGACTAGTTTCATATTGAAATAAGTTTGAATTTTTATTATTGAAAGAAGATGGGAATAATTTT